ATATAGTATAATATAATATAGTATTAATATAATATAATATAGTATAATATAATATAATATAATATAATATAATATAATATAATAATAGTAATAATAAGATTACATACTTACTCGGACCCCGTCTCGCTTGAGGCCTTCACGGTGCGGGCCTTGAGGTGTGATGTCGCAAATGACTGCGCTTACAGGGGAGGACTGTCGCTTTTCTGAGAGTCTGGTCTCATATGTAGCAAGCTTCATGTATTTCTGTGCTCGCAGTGGGCTTTTGTATCTTGGTTTCGTATTCTGAGGCTGGTTTTCTAACAGCATTGGGGATCAGCGCGCTGATGCTCAGTGGTGGAGGGCCTCCACTCCCTTCTCGTTCGGTTCTTGCAGGCCTTTAGTTACCCAAAGGCTCCATGTAGCTTCATAGTAGCTACTTAGGCCTTAAAGTACCTGTATAGGGACCCTTTAAGGCCCAAGTAGCTACTATAAACGTACATGGAGGGTTAAAGATCTTCGTGGATTCGGGCCTTCCGCTGCAGGCCCCAACTCGGAAGCTAAACACTCGAAATCCTGTGCGCGAGCAGAAGCCCACGTCTCAGGCACATGCCCGCCACAGTCCAAGATAATGTGTGGCGCAGTGTCCTGCAAGAAGCTGCAATTGGTTTAAAAGCCTGGCAGACTCTGTACTCTCAAGTTGGCCATCCATTCATGACCGTAGGCATTACGCAGTTCTCATCCTCATCCTCCTTCTCCTCCGGCTGACTTCTTCTGCTTCTTCCTCCTCTTCCTCCTCAAAAAAATCGTCGTCGTCGTCGTCGTCATCACCATCCTCAGCATCACCCGGTTCATCGTCATTTACTGCTGCATCACCATTATCAGCACAGCCGGAGTCGTCCTCAGCGTCCCTTTCACGAACATCTTCGACCGCCAACATCATCGTCATGGTCATACTATCATCTTCATCTACACGAGCCATTGCCACCATTCCTCGCCGTCATCCCCATCAGCATCATCACCGTCGTCGTCACGGGAGTGGCCCTACCTCCGCCAAAAAGGGAATCCGAGACTGGAATTGCGAGCGCCATGAATCATGACGGCTAAACTGCGCACCTGAGACAAAACCGGCAACTCAGCGGAATCCTAAGCCCCCTAGACTCTAAAGTCCCGCAACCCCCACAAGAACTCGGATCCTGTACGACACTACAGGTCACATTCCCGGGTGAATGCCCAGCACAGAGCGCTCCTGTGGCAGGGATGCAGGGCCGGCATGTTTTGATCTAGTTCGGGGAGGCCATAGTTAAAGGAAACTACAGGTGGGGAGTTTAGGGTATATAGGGCTTCTATAAGGCTTCTATAAGGTATATAGACCTTCTGTAAGGCTTCTATAACGGTAACTNNCCACCTGAAAATGTCCTAGACATAGTGCTACATTGGGTTAGAGAGCTCGAATGGAATAGCATCCGAGGTTCCCCCCAGTAAACCCCCTTCATACTAAGGGTGCCTCTTTTTTTTCCCGAAGTGCTCGGGTTTAAAAGGGAAGCCCCCGAATAAGAAGGGCTAAGGGAAAATACTCGGAAATCTAGCAATTTGTACTTCTTAGGGTTTTAGGGTTTTAGGGTTTAGGGTTTAGGGTTTCGGAGCACTGCTTTACCAGCGTTGGGGTTCAGAGTTCCGGGTTCTCGTAGGGTGCATGTCACCACTACCCATCTTGCTACCAAGTTATAGCTGGTTCAGTTTCTCTGGATTGGGTTGTATGATACCGTATTTCTATAGTATCTCATATTTTGTTAAGTCTGTTAAGTATGTTAGAGTTTTGTGTTGGTATATGTCCATTGTTCCTTGTCGAAGACAGTTTTGTCCTGGCCTCCTGCTCCATTCATTCACATGTCTGCCCATAGGCCCCTAGGTAGTTCCTTTTTGGGATTACCTTATAGGATTCTAAAGATAAACCACAAAAAGGAACCACTTAGGAGCCTATGGGTGGCCGACACACCATGAAACACAACCGTTAAACTCAAAACTCTGCCCCCGTAGCCCTAAAGCTCCAAGCCTTAAGCCCTGCCTACTATAGACGCCGGAAGACTTACCAACCTTTTTCCAAGGGCTCCTCCTTGTAACGTGTAGTATAACGTACCCCAAAACCCTCTTATCATTCCGGAGGCCCCTCTACATGCGAAGCGCCCGAATACCCTAAACCCCTAAACCCTAAACCCACAACGCTCCCACTTTGCAAGGCTTTGGGGAAATGCTGGGCTCGCCTCCACAACGGCTACTGTACTATGTGGGCCTTACGACTGGGGTTTAGGGTCTGGGGCTTAGGGGTTTGGGGTTCAGGGTGTTTAGGGTTTAGGGCTTCGGGGTTTAGGTTTCAGGGTGTTTAGGGTTTAGGGCTTAGGGGTTTCGGGTTGTAGGGTTTGGGGTTTTGGGTCTAGGGCTTAGGGCTACAATGTAATCCTTTTTGAGAAGTTCACTCTTAGTAGCTCTTCTTTCCCCTACGTTGCACTTCCAAGTGAATTCCCGAAGCCGAACCCTTGGGTGCCGAAAGTTCGGATTTCAAGGATACGGAGTTTCGAACCGGGGCTTTGAGGCTTCTAGCCTAGACCCTCCTTCTACCCTCTACTAGACCCTAAATCCCTACTATTAGGGACCATATACCCCTGTTTGAGGGTATAAGGAAGGTTCTGGAAGACTCAACTTGAGGATCAAATCATCATAGGGCCTTGCTGGGGCCTACTGTATTTAACGGTTTAGGGTTTAGGGTTTATTTTAAAGGGCTTGAAGCTGGTGTACCGCTCGCCAGCCTGTGCATGCCAGTATTAAGACGCTCCCGAGACGTGCCATCTAAGATCAGCGCACAGGTGCGCAAAGGCTCAGCCCTAGATGCGTGCAGTTTGTCAGCACCAGTCCCGCTTTGACTACAGGAATTCTGTGGTAGTGAATCTCTGGGTCTCTCCTTCGCAATCCGAGAAAGTGCAAAAAGAAGAAGAACACTGTTGCACAGCAATACCCGAGAAGTGCGATGCTTTCGACAGCTACTTTCGTCTTCAAGCCTTTTTGGGCTCAAGGGGGCTCAGGGCTATAGGGTCGGTCAGCAGCGATGAGCTTTACAACCATGACTTTCCGGGAAACAGCGCTACCCTCCGGCAGACTTTGTGTCGTATGGGACCATGTAGAGTTGCCTGCAAACAGCCTACTAATAAAGAAGTCTGACATCCCTCTTCAAGCCCGTGCATGACTGCACGAACATATACCACCTAAACCCTGCTTACTCTAACTGTCCAGGCGCCCTTCCCCTACGTCTTCCCATGCTTTGAGCCGGCAGAGCAAATACGGCATGCGGGAAGGAAGCTGGAGGACCCCGGTGACGTACAGATGGGGGTTTGCGGAAGAGAGCTTGAGAATAATTAATCGGGCTGTATACTCGCTTGATGCAAGCTTAAGGCTTATAGGCTACGTACGGGCCATATAAGTCTGCTAGGCCCAAGGCCCGCCCCATCGAATCAAGACTGAACGGAGGTTACAACACAAAATCTCCACAGTGCTCATCAAAACCACAGACTCGTTAAGGGGTTTACTGCAGGGTTTAAGCTTCAGGGTTTAGGGGCTTCGGGTTTCAGATCACATATAGGCCTAGGCTTTGTAACATCCAAGGGGTTCAAGCAGCGGGTAGCACTTAAGCAAAGGCCGACGCCACGTCTTTTGATGATTGCAGAGGAGTGGCCAGACTTGCAGACTGCCAAACCAACGTCCGTATATACCCCGGACACCGTCAAGAAGCGGCTTACGAAGCATCAGAAAACCGGAATGGAATCAATATCCGACGGAAATGGCTGCAACCGTGTCTTCTGCTTTTCTTTCACATCGATTTCTGGTTAGAGGGCAAGGGCTGGGCACTCTGTGCAAGCGCTGCTCCCTTCGGCTCTGCCACTACAAATAAGTCCTACAGCATCTTCCCAGGACATACAACTACCATACAGAAGCCTTGCATGATCACACTGTCAAGGCTGAGGTTACCTAGGCATGCCCTCTGTTCAAGCACTAGGTTCCACTGCGTCGAAGCTTGATGTCGAAGACCCCTGTACAGGGGTGCAGAGTGCGGCAAGCATTTTTGGTAGCCTAATGTAGGGCTTAGAATAGAGTCCCGAGCTTAGAGTGTCTACTGCAAGGTCTATGGGTAGGGTTGAGGCTAGGAAGATTAGGATTGCACTTTAAAGGGGTGCGGTTCAGGCTTGTGTCTAACGGGCTTATCGGGCTTAAGGTTTCACCTCAAGCTGGGAGCTAGGGAGTTCATTTCTTCGAATGTACAGAACTGCGATCGTTGTTGATGCTCCTTACTAGATTTCCCCACACTATTGCCCACCCCTTGATTTCGGAACATCTGTGAGCTTGCTGCTTGCTTTAGCAAGTCTCTCGAAAGAGATGGTAGCTTGGAGGGCACTTCCTACATCTACACAGGCACAGTCCTGTCTCAGCAGATCATCAAGGCCTCATCTCAAAGGAGTACCTCGGCGGTGAGGCTTTCAAACACTGCGCACTGTGCAGGATGACTGGGGCAAGTTGGGCTGAGTTGGGAACTTTCATACTGTGCAAGAGAATGCAAGCAGCTCAGTCAGGTGGACGACAAAGGTTTCTCTTGTCGTTGTCACGAAATCGGAGGCAGTCGACCGTGCTCCATTGCGCAGGCCGGTTAGCCACAAATTGGTGCAGAATGGTCTGGCTATGAGCTGTTGCCACTTGGGGATCACACTGTCTCCGCTCCTCCGTTCAACTCTGATTATGGTTGAATGTGGAGTGACACTTGGTTGGCGATCTTTGCCAGAAAATCAGGGTGCATTCAAATGGGCCGCGGATAGACCTTGAACCTGTGGTTGTTCGGTTTCACGAATATAGAACTACCTGGTGGCCATGGGTAAAAGCCAAGCTCCCCACAAATAAAACCACGGCCGCTTGAGTTTTGGTGACAAATGTCTGGACTGTTGCCCATCCACCAATCGTTGCCCCCTCCAGTCTCGTGCCCTTGGGCAAAGCGAAGTTTGACCTGAGCATCAAAGGTACTGTACTATAAGTACTTTTGTATATGCTAAACTAAACTATACTATATACTTTATACTATACTATATAATATACTATATACTATATACTATATACTATATACTATATACTATATACTATATACTATATACTATATACTATATACTATATACTATATACTATATACTATATACTATATACTATATACTAATATATATATATATATACTATATACTATATACTATACACTATATACTATA